TTAATCGACAACACTGCCATCAGTTCCACGGGGCATTATAACCGAGAAACATGTCGAGATGGAAGTCGCCCACGGCGGTAAGCCAACTATCGTGTCTATCATCCGCCATACCGATTGGAACCCAATGGTAAAGTTTTTATCATTATAAGCTTCTCTTACTTCCGCTGACACCTTCCACAGACTTCGACCAACGTAGAATTCAACATCGAGTACTGGTGCAGACCCGTCCGAAATTTATTGAAGACACAGAATCTATCTCAGCGGGGGCGCGAAGTTACCATCAACGGGTTCATCACAGGATATGATCCCACCCGCCACATGATCCAAGTTGATGTAAGCTATAACTGCCTTCGCACTTTAAATCCATATTGACTTTCCATTATCCAGATAATGGCTATCTCTGTTTGCAGTGGCCCAGAAAACATTAATAATTCCAACCCTGGCCCGGGTACTGCCGAATCTCGAACTACCCGTGGTGGCAGAGTTCAATTGCCCAGGTACGCTATTATCATTTCGTTACTAAAGAGTCAACACTAACTCCGCCAACACTAGGGTTACTCACTCCAGCGACACGGCCATCGCCGGTAACTCCTCCCCCACACCTGGCCCCTCGCAGTCGTCTGATTTTATTTCAAGTTGGTATTAGTCAACTTGAATGAGATTGAGAAGAGGTCATTAAAGCTTGAGTTTGATGTTGAAGTTGATTTGTTGTGCTGAAAGTATTGATGAATTCGTTTGAATGGAAACTACTTGGATTGAGGGTATAGAAGAATTGATTTGATGAGAGGAGTGAGGAACAAATTTGGGGTGAGGCACGTGAAAATCAGGTTGAATCTGTTGAACGTGTAAACCTGGAAATTGGTAGTAGGGATTGAGAGTTTAATCAGGTTTTGCCGGCGAACACGGTTTACCTTTAACTTGAATGATGATGAGTGCTGAGAATCGTCTTTGGAGCGCCGATAAAATTGACCTCCAAATTAGCGCCGACATTCCATGTCCTAAGACGAATCCCCGTTTACACGATCTCGTCGGGCGTTTTATGATCCACGGACCTTGCAAAGGCAGGCAGTGCTGGCGCGACAACGCGTGCAAAAACGGCTATCCACGTCCCAACTCCGATGTCACACAAGTTTTAGAGAACGCATATCCACTGTACAAGAGACCCGCTTCAACACACACACTCGAGCACAAAGGCAGGATTTGTACGACGCGCGACATCGTACCATATAATCCCTATTTGTTGTTGCGGTATGAATGCCATATCAATGTTGAGATCCCTGTCAGCACTAAATCTGTCAAGTACCTTTATAAATATATTGCAAAAGGTCATGACCGCTCAGCAGCATCCTTCACGTGCGCCGATGAAACAATTGGACACGTTGATGGAAGATACGTTAGTGCATCTGAAGGTGAGTTTTTATACCATGCTATCCAATAACATTTCACTCACGTGCCTTTCCAGCATGCTGGAGACTTTTCAAGTTCCCAATGTCTGGGAGATTCCCTGCAGTTCAGCGACTAGCCCTACATCTGGAAGACGCACAAATCGTCACATGGCGGGACGAAGAGAGTCTCGAGGAGAACATTGAAAGTGGACGAGCGGGCCGAACCACTCTGACTGAATTCTTCAAGTTGAATGCTGAAAACCACGTGACGACAAAGTACAACATACCTATTCGGACGCTACTATATCGTGAAATGCCTACCCACTTCACATGGGACAATACAAGTAACCGCTGGAAAGATCGCACATACAACACGAGCACGATATCACGAACTTACCTCGCATCGATCTATTCGGGGGAACGTTATTACTTGAGGTTATTACTTGCCAACGTCCGCGGACCGACGAGTTTCGCCAATATTAGGACCGTCAACGGCATTGTATGCCCTTCGTACCTTCGTGCCTGCCATGAATTGGGTCTTCTGCTGGGCGATGAACACTACGCGGCTTCAATGAAGGAAGCTGCCTCATGGCAAACGGGCGCCCAACTTCGGAACTACTTCGCGTTACTCCTCAAACACTCCCCGCCAGCTAATCCATTCGCACTGTGGCTATCCTACAAGACGGACTTGAGTGACGATTGCGAGCGGGCTATCAGTCGTACAAACCCCGACCTTCAGATTGATACCAAAACAATTGAGGCTCTTGGTCTACACCGCCTCCGCCGATGCCTAGCCGAGATGGATATGACATTAGATGACGCCGGTTTGCCCGAAGAAGACGTTGAAAGACTTAGATACCTTGGTCCGCTTTATCAAGCCAATGATTCAGAAGAAGACGATTCCGAGGCGAGCTTGGCATATCTCCATGACGCGTTACCAAACCTCAATCGAGAACAACTCAATGTATACACCGCAGTTACTGACTGTTTATATAGGCGAGAGTCTGGGATGTTTTATTTAGATGGCCCAGGCGGAACTGGTAAAACATACGTCATGAACGCCGTACTACACTCTGCCAACAGCCGTGGAATTGGTTATGTCTCGGTTGCATCGTCGGGCGTCGCAGCCCTACTCCTCTTACGTGGCGGGACAGCCCACTCTGCCTTGAAGGTCCCAATCCATCACGACGATTTTACCACCTGTACCTTTAGCCCAACCGACAGAGTTGGCCGACGACTTAAGTCCGCGTCTCTTCTCGTTTGGGACGAGATTGCGATGCAGAACAAATCTGTCATCCATTGTGTCGATTGTAGTCTGCGAGACCTGCGTGGAAGCACGGAGCCTTTCGGAGGTATGTGCGTTCTCTTCGGAGGCGACTTTCGCCAAACACTTCCCGTGATACCAAAATCTTCTATGCACAATCAGGCCAACGCGTCTCTCAAGATGTCACCTTTATGGTCCAAGATTGACAAATATGCTTTACATGTCAATCTTCGTCTACGACCCCTTGATGGTCAATCTGACGAGGACATCCAACAGAATGCTTCGTTTGGGGACTGGCTTCTTTGTCTAGGCAACGGTAAGATTCAAAGCGAAGACTGCGCTCTCATCAACATTGACACATGCAACATATCGGCTATGCGTAAAAACGAAGAATATGATGCCGTTGCGGTACGAGACCATTACGAAGGCATCGGGGGATTGATTGCTCAAGAGAACTGGAAAAAACTCAGCGATTATTATTCGGATCGCTGCATTTTGACACCGCTGAATGTCGACGTGAACAATATCAATGACGCCGTCCTCAATGATTTGAACGGCGATGAAACTCAATACCAGGCGTTCAATATTCCGGAGGAACATGACGAAATGGCTTCGCCGGAAATCCTTAATTCATGTGAAATAGCTTCTTTCCCCAAGAATATATTGAAGCTTAAGCCGGGCGTACCTCTCATGCTGTTAAGAAATCTCAACTTGGCTCAAGGCTTATGTAACGGGACGCGACTCATAGTCACCGAATGTGGCACGGGTGTTTTGCGTTGCAGAATTATTACCGGTCGTCATCGTGGTAAAATGGTCATGTTGCCCAAAATTAAGACTTTGCACACCGGTGACGATGTGATGCCTTTATCGTTTTATCGCCACCAATTCCCGGTGAATCTAGCATTCGCAATGACTATTAATAAAGCGCAGGGTCAGAGTGTTAATCGGGTAATGGTTTCTTTGCCAAACAACGTTTTTGCTCACGGTCAATTGTATGTAGCATTGTCGAGGTGTAGCACTGCTTCCCATGTGCGGGTATCTTTGAAGCAGAGAGGCGCTACGTCGACACTCAGTATTGTTCACCGCGAGTTTCTCGCTACTTAGTATGCATCATGTTGTTTTTCTGTTATCAATTGTACCGTTGTCCTAGGCCTTTTTGACCTTTCCCTGTGTCGTTCAGAGGTTCGAGACTCTTGCAATTATGTTACTCTTTGCCTCCATTCGTCTGACGTCAAGCTTAATCCTCTGGGCTACATTCTTGTGACAAGCCAGGTTTAGCCCAGTGAATAATCCGGCCAAGCCTATGCTGAATGGGATTTGATACGTGAGCCGCGGCAACCTCCCAACACAACTAGCCGGGCCAGGCTGACTAGCGAATACTTTTGAGATTACATCAGTCCATAGCATTATGACGCTAACAACCGCCGAAAACAGCTCCCAGTGTGCATGGTACACGGCTATTGGTATAAAAGGCATACCCTCCTGCTAACATTGGACTGCCGCGCGTTTACTTACTCTCAGATCCCCCTTTCGTTACAAAATCGACAAACGCAAAATGCAGAATCACATGGCATTGAAATATCCGCTAAGGTTCAGCAGCATTTTCTGGACTGACAAAATTGTGAGCAAATTGATAGATATGTTTTTTTGCATAGAACTGACGAGTCACTTCTAGGTCGAGATTGATGAAGGTCCATTATATAAATGCCTCAAGTCAAATGTCATTGTTCAACACCACGAACTTGAAGGTATACCATTGATGATAGCCGCAAAAAAATCCCAAACCATGCTTAGGCCAAATCACACGTATAGAATCGATGGTCAAATCGCTGCTGGCAGCGACCAAAGTATGTCGACCATATTCGAGGACAGCGAGTGCACCATTGCCCTCGATCACGCCAAAGTAAGGCTCAATAGCATGATGAATAGAACGTGCGCTCATGGCATTGGCGAGATAGTGGACTGGTTCCTGCAGACTGCCTATCCAGCGACTCACAATGTCGAGGTGATCAAAGTCTTGCACCGATGTCTGGATACTACGGTTCGTATTAGTTACAATTCCAGCCTTTGCATCTTACTCACCGATGATCACCGCACAACAGAGACACGATTATGTCGAATTCTCGGCTCATTACATTATTGAACCACACATCAGTACTACTCTCAGTATGGACGCGCTCAAGATAGGCAATGTTATAAGCTTACGTGGTACAGTCGTCGGGTACATTGCAAACACTAACACTTGGGAAATCAATGTAAGCCATCTAAATTATAAAAACATACTCAAAGCGCTGACGAAGAGACTTAATCAGACGAGCGAGATTGAAATAATCAAAACTAAATCTCGCGTGCGTAGAAGTCGTCGACAACGCGGCTTGCGTCCCGCATCGCCTTAAATTTTGTCTTTCGTCGATACACAACACGAACAATAGGCTGAGACACAAGTTGACCTTCTTCTCAACCTCATTTCTAACATTCTGGCATTTGTAAATAGTGTTCATACATTTTCTATAGTTTGGTACATCGCAAGCGGATAAGACGATCTAAGGTATTGTGACTCGCTACAAACGAGCTTGGCCACGTCATGCAATGCTGAAGAATGAGCAACTCAGCCAATCACCCCAGTCCGCCTGCAGCTCCCCAGTGGTTTGTAAACTATGCATTGACGCATCCACGCTTGCCTTTCGTCAAAAGTGCCCCTACATTGTCGTGCTAGCAGGGCTTTGAAGTGATAAGGCTAGCCTGTACTTTGAATCAGCGTCATACAGAGCATAAAGTCAAAGAAATTTCGTACGGACAAGACCCAAGTGTCCCTCAACTCGCAGAAGCCTCGGACAACTCCCTGCACGTGAACAGTTGCCCCAATGCTCATCCCTTCGTACGTAATGTTATTAACCGCTGAGGTTTTATAGATGTATTCGCATATAAACGGAATTTGGCACATGTCCTGCAATACATAACGTTAGACACCATCGATACGACTCATAACTTAGCACATACAGAGGGATCCCAATCGACGTGTTTTACGGTCATCGAAAAATCTTGCCACGCTTCGCGGTAACACTTTTTCAATATTTCACCGGACGCCCTGATATTAATGGCGTCAGCGATATCCCCTTTGCGATAGTACAAGACTTGACTAGGGGGCAATGTCAAATAATCTGGAAATAGGATTGGAGGATAGCCGTGAAAACGATTGATGACGTTGCCGCTGATGTTGTAGGCCACGCCTGTAGTCAAGGCAGCCGTAAACATGTCATCGGCAACGAGAATGGTCTTCTGTAAGAATGAATCATGGGTGACTAGAATTGTAGCGCTGTAATAACGAAGAGGGTTGGAAGCGTTCGTACGCCCGGCAATCTAACGCCAGAATGTCAGCATGGCATGCCTTAAGTCAAAAATACGGACACTCACTAAGTTGTCTAATCTAAAGACTCCAGTCAGTCGTAGCGGAAGGATGGGTTGAGGATTGGGTTCCATCGAGGCGGAGGAATTAAGCATCAGGATAGCTGAAGTCGATGTCTGCTACCGCGATTTGACTCTTATTGGGCTATCATTCGCCATCGACATGCGCCCACGCGGTGTTCATTTATACCGCGAAGCGCGTCATGTGCTATTGGCTGCAATGCATGATACACGCACCCGCTGCAATGACGCGTTGTCATGGTAAGCAGCGCACACCAAGTGATAATCAGGGCTCAACGTGCTGCAACAAAAACGATGGATTGGACTACAGTTAGATTGTCTCGAAACACATGCATTACATAAGCCTTTGTTATGATGCCATGAGCACATGATTTTATGCGCATGAGATGACATCCAGGCATGTGAACTATCCATATGTACAAAAAAAAAAGACCAAAAGGCTCATGATCAGATAAGAAGTGCTGAAGCTAATGGGCACGTCTCTCCGTGCACATGTATAAGACGACAACGTGATTCTCTATGTAGTCTTAAGCAAGCTAAGACCCAGGGTAGGTGGCGGCTGGGCGCCGAAGTCCTAGTAAGGTAATATATGAAAAGGTACAATACGATGATGCCGGTGACATTGGTGAAGTGGATGATGGCCGGATCCGATCAGACTTGGATCCGGTTGACAACTTTGATAGACGAATCCGAAGGATTCGTAGGAGAAAGAATTGAGGATACATTCTAGAAAGCGCACATGTAAAAGGAAAAGCGCGCTTGGAAAGCGCAAGACAAAAGAAATAGATAACAAAGGGAAACAAAGGATTCGGGGTATCACAACATTCAGCTGAAGAGATGATCGCCAAAGCGTACAAAAGTATCTGATTTGAAGATTACTTAATGTCAGTTTCATTCATAATTAATTGTCTTCGGCTCATGCTTACTACTGGCCTTGATGGGGGTGTTCATTATATTGCTTCCACAACATAAATTCATAAGAAACCAGCGAAAGCGGGAGTCTTTTGCTTTTCCTGCTTTTGCTCTGGTTTGGTGCACTCTAAGACAAGCCAGTCAGCTTAAAGCAATGTGTCTTTGGAACTCTCACGGCCAAAGAAAGTCAGGCTCGAATTGAATCCACGACTTGAATTTCGATTATCTAAGTTTTGTTTCCTGTGAACTTACCTTGACCGGGGTTCACAAACCGTCATGTCAAAGGTCTCCATCTCTCGCACTACTCAGCATGTTCTTTGGATGTCTTGCGAGCATAGAGTTGGTCAGTCAGATTGCTATCAGAATGCAAAACTGAAGGCACCCATGTTGCCGAAGGGAGCCCTTTTCCACTTCCTGCTGTTGCTTTTGCTTACTGTATTGTTTGAGAAGAGGGATCGGAGCTTGAGCCAAGTTGCCTGAATATGCGCAATGTCAAATAAAGAAGTCAGACTTGGGTCAAATTCATCACTTGAAATTTCTAAAGTCACCGTTTTGGAAATGTAAAGCTCTTGGTGCTTACTTTTGTTGAGTCTCATACTACGAGTTCAAAGGCTTCTATTCTTCGCATTGCAAAGCCTGCTTTTGAACGTTCCACAAGCATAGCAAGGTCTTTGTGGTTTTGTGATTGTATTATCTTGATGTCTTATCAAGAAATCACATCCGGTCAAGAGGCAGGCTTCCTTTGGAGTACAGGAAAGGAGATCACGGCTAGGCTAAGGAAGGATTGATGTCTTTGTCATTTGTGGGTTTCTATCAATCTCTTAGACTGGCGTTCAGAATGGCAAGCTTCAAAGAGAGATCACGAGATAAATTTGAATGAAGGAGGGTCCAAGTTCAGTCTCTGGAAATAAAATCGGCTCACTCTGTCATTATTATTGCAACGGGCTCAATCCAAGACACTTGGGAGCAGGGTATGGCCTGCAATGGGAAGTTTTGAGAACAACTGCCAGCAGTGCTGATCATCTATCAATTTCATTCATCGAAAGAAAGTTAAAAAACATAAAAAAGGCCCACTAGGGGCGTGCTCTGCAGTACGGACATTCCAGCCCCAAAATACTGTTCTTTACCATAGTGACTAGACACTCCGTACACATTCGATGGGCGGGATGACAACGGAAGCTAACATCCTTCTCACCTTCTACATACTTCTTGGCGCAAAAGTGGCATTCTGGTGTGTATTCTTCTGCTTTCTTGGGGTCGGGGTCACTAGCTTCAGATGGGAAAAAGACTGTCTGATAAGTTTCACTCAAGATACTTGAATAAGCCCAAATGCCGTACCATTCACCAGATCCAGCTTCAGGAAAATCAAAGTCGGTTGAAAGGGTGGGATCGACATAGGTAGCATTGGCCCGTAGGAAGGGGACAAGGTTTGCCCGTGAACTTTGGGTGTCTGATATCAATGCATTCGATTCAGGGGTGTTGGTTTCGCCTGCTTCCTGCCTAGCCAAAATGAGTAGTTCTTGATTAAAGAGTTCATAGATATCTCGGATTACCCCACGTGAACCGACTTCCGCTGGGAACCGGCGGTCAATCGCTTGCTGCAGGTTGTGAATTTCATCCACAAGATGCTGGTATTGCTCATTGGTGACGTTTTCGTTGGCTGCCATGGAATTTGTTTTGAAATCTGAAGTGTTATAGTCGTTGAAGCGAAGGTATGATAGAAGTTAGATGAGTTATTCTTGAAAGATTGTGGCGAGGAGAAATTGCTTGAAGGATTGGAGTCGTCCTCGTCAGCCGGTTCTTTTATAGGCGTAAAAGACATTCGCAATTCAGCACCAATGAGCAGCTTCAGAGGCTGATCATACCTGTAGTCCATGTTTGCTTTTCTCAGAAAATCCACTTTTTCTCCATATATTCACATATAACGCTTTTTTCCAACAGAATTTCAATTGCAGCTTGTCCAAGAAACGCAGAGAATATCTCTCGATCCAAAAGCTCTTCTCTTTTCATACGGTTCTCGAAAGCGTTGAGTTCTTCTTTTAGCCACAAAAGTATGTGCGTTTGAAGTGTACCCAATGTCAGTTTGCCTCATAATGTGATACCCCGTTTCTTTTGTTTCCCTTTGTCTCCTCTCTCTTTTTTGTAATACGCTTTTGAAGACATTTGTGCGCTTTTCCAAATGTCCTCCTTTGACAAATCCTCGCCGGATTTGTCCTCCCACTGTTGTAGACCGGATCCTCTCACATCGGATCCGGCCATAGTTAGATCTCACCGACTATCATGTTGTCATTCCCTTCCCATTTTCCTTATTAGTACTTTGTAGAGACGGACACCTATATAAGGCGTCCTCTCCTTGCTCCAGGAATGAACACCAAGCAGCTTCTCAGTAGAATCACCACACCGATCCTCTATTGAACATAACAAATAATTACTTGTTAGTAAAACCTTTTCCCACCACAATCGAAGACAATCCTATATTAACCTGTGATCCCACTCCATCACCCAGTGCTTACCAGTACCAACAAAAAAACTCGATCCCAAACAACCAACCAGCACTACCTTTTCACAAGTTGATATTTCAAAGTCGTAAGTAACTCTCGAATTCCCTAGCTAGTTATTCGAACCTACTCCATCGACTGACCCTCCTTCGATTAGTTAGACTCAAGGAAGCCCAGATACATAACTAACAAACCAGCAAACACCACGCGTCACCTTTTAAGGTATCATCAGGCAAAAAAAAAGATTTTAATCTTACAACCCGTACGTATATTCCTGATAGAGACTCTGATCAAGTCTCGCGAAAGATATTAATAAAACAAACACCATCTCAAATACGTAGAAAAAAAAAACTTCAAAATGGACGAACACAGTGGATTTATCCAAGTTCCGGCCAAAGACATCAGAGTCTTACGAGCCCAGATCCAACAGACCAGCATCGACGCTCAGAACTCCGCGCAGGCTCACGCGCAAGCTCTCTCAGAGCTCAGAGAACAGTATCAGCAAGCTTACCAACAACAAGCTCTAGAACTCGCTGACACTAAGAACATCCTCCAACAACTGCAAAACAACCCCAATCATAACTATACAAAGAAACCCAACGCCTTTCGAGGAGAACCACACAAATTCGAAGGATATGGCGATAACGCCGAGTTATGGTTACTCGAGCTGGAATCAAACTTCCGAATCCATCACTACCCTGAGACCGAATGGGGAGAGATGATAGGAGCCTACCTAGACGAAGAATCGAAAATGTATTGGCTCTTGGAACAAAACGCCACCGGAGGAATCATAAACAATTATCAAGAATTCAGGAACAAATTCCTCCAAAAATATAACTTCAGTTTAACCATGGACGAGATAAGAGAAAAAATTAAATTACTATACTACCGAAATGATATACATGACTACATCTTAAGATTCCGCAAATTGTCCTGCCAAATACCTTTAGATAAGTTCGGTTTCCTTGATAGAAAATTCGCCTTCCTAGACATACTTCCGGCGAACATCAGAGAATGGGCCAATAGACCTGAAGTTGTAGAAAAAGAAGATATGGAACTCATCTTCGCTGCCGCCAGGGAACGCGACCAAAACAATAAAGTAAACAACCGAACTTTCAAGGCGCCCGAAAATAAAAGGGTATTTGATCAAAAATTCAGCTGTCCCTTCTCTCGAAGCAACTACCACAGACCGTCTAACTTCGGAAGACCTCCTGCAGTAACTAATACGTCCGGACCCATGGACTTAGACTTAATGGACAAAGCTAAAACTACTCAAGTAACATCACAGACTAGGGCTGTGACCCGGCCCTGAAAGTTCAGGGCCGGCACCGGGGCGCGGCCCGGCCGCGAGGAAACCCGAGGGCCTTCAAAAATGGTTCAGGGCCAGGCAGGGCGCGCCCTGAACTTGAGGCCTAGGGGCCAGGCAGAGTCAGGCTTAGGTTTTGGGCACAAAAAGCATGAGTTGTATAGCTTGGGATGATCGGCAGCCCCGGTGCCCGACCCGCCCGAGCGCTCTCAGGGCGCCTTTGTGAGTAAAACACATGACATTCTGCGGCCCCGGGGCGCGGACCGCGAGCTCTCCAGAGGTCGCCGGGCAGACTCGGCCGGGCGGGGCCGGGTCCGGGTCGCAGCCCTATCACAGACCAAATGCTTCAAATGCCATGGACACGGCCACCTCGCTAGAGATTGTACCAACACAAGGAAACCTTTTAAACCAAGCTTCAAGAAACCCAATTACTCAGGAGGAGATCGGCGTAAGCAGAGCCTCTTGCTAATCGACATGGATCAAGAAAGCTCCCCGAAACTAGAGACGACTCCTTTCCTCGGACCCGATGGGACAATGATTAAGTCGTCTAAGGAATCTTCCTCTAGCCTCGACGGCCCCGGCGTCGACGGAAGAGAAGACCTCGCTATGAAGGTCAAAGCCTACAAGAAAACTCTTGATAATCCCGAGTATCAGGAAGAACTCAAGAAGGAACGAGAGACACTAACCAGGCTATTTCGAGATCAGGCAGAAGATCTGTCCTACCGATGTTGTAAGTCATGTCGTATCTTTGGAAACGAAGATAGTCCCGAAACAGTCTCTAAAGGCATTGATTATTTTAATTTAGATGCTGAACAAGTCAATAACATCATGAAGAGACCGCTGGAAGAAGAATCCGAAGAAGAAGGAACAAGAGAGAAACCCATTCTTGTTAATGCTAGTCCACCGCTCACGTCTAGATACTCCAATTATCTAGGACTCCCTAGCCCCGAATATTCACCAACGAACCAGGCCAAAATCTCGAACATTGACATGTCCAACTTGCCATTCTCACCGGCCTCTCCAAACCAAGAAAGACAGACGTCCGCCAACAACTCAGACATCCAAGAGTTACATCTCCTACCTCTAGGTGAGAAAATCCCTCCCTACCCAGACGTAGAAGTAGATGGTAGAAGAATTGACGGGTTCGGCTTCACCAACACCCCATTTCACTCTCCCATACAAGAACGAGATAGAGAAGAACTGGGAGAACGAGAGTTAGAACATGTGGAAACCTGGAACAGAATCATGGGGCATAACAAAAAGAGGCCAAGGTGGACCGGATTTGCTGTTAGTGGACCTAAGGATCTAGGAGAATACGAAGGCGAAGCCATTCTATCCCTGGAAGAAGGCGAGATCTACAAAGGACACTCTTTATCCTTGAACATCGTAGACCTAGCGACACAGAGCGACTCGAACTCGTCGCTTCCAACGTATACTAGCCATTTCAGGAACTACCCACTGGCAACGATCCTAGACACAGGAGCAGCCGCAAACTATATCTCCGAACACAAGCTTAAAAGGATGTTGGACCTAAACCCTAACCGCATAAAACTTGAAGAAACCAATGGACAGAAGGTGAGGTTGGCAAATGGTGCCCACGAAACGTCGACCAACACAGCCACTTTTGAGCTAGAAATCGACGACTGCAACAACGGCGGTTTCTTTAGATTCACCATCAAAGCTTATGTACTTCCACTACCCAACGTAGAACTGATCATGGGCATGCCTTGGTTCAAAGAACACAAACCCAAGATCAATTTCGATAACATGGAGTATGAAATCGAGAGGGACTCACGTTGCTATAACTTCATCCCTAAACCAAGCGGAAACGACCTGTACACAATGGTGTTGGGAGGATTGCATAGTATCCTCGAAAAAATCGCCCGTGACACTGCACCTGAGTGCTTTGAAGAAGATATCAGACAAGTGGAACGGAAGCACAAACATTTCATCAACACCGGCGACTGTAACCCAATTAAAACACACGGAAGGCCCCTAACTCCACCTGAACACCAACTAATCGGGCAATTTGTGGAAGAGGGCCTGGAACAAGGAATAATTGAGAAAACGGACTCCCCTTTGAGCTCTCCTTTATTGCTTGTAAAGAAGGCCGACGGTTCAACACGTGTATGTGTTGACTACCGAGCGTTGAATAAGGTAACTCGAAAAAATGCTTATCCACTCCCACGGATTGATGACGCTTACCAATTTTTGTCTGGTGCAAAGTGTTTTACAACAATCGACCTTAAGTCCGGTTTTTGGCAGGTCCCCATGGCCCCTCAAGACAAAGAAAAAAACGCGTTCACTTGCCGTCAGGGTCATTTCCAATGGTCAGTAATGCCTTTTGGATTGTGTAATGCACCGGCGACCTTCCAGGAAATGATGAACGACATCCTGCGAGACGTCATTGACAAGTTTGCATTAGTTTACTTAGATGATGTTATTATTTTCTCTAGGTCACAGGAAGAACATCTGGAACATGTCAAACAAGTATTTCAAATTTTAAAAGATCATAGGTTAGTAGTCTCACCAAAAAAATGCCAATGGCGCAAGAGCTCACTACTGTTTCTTGGACATATCGTTGATGGAAATGGAATCAGAACTAATCCCGAGAAAATCAACAAGATTATGGAATGGCCACGCCCAGATAATATCTCAAAGGTTAGAGGTTTTCTGAACCTCTGTACTTACTACAAGAGGTTTATCAAAGGCTTCTCTTTGATCGCCTCGCCAATCTACAAGCTCACCAAAGGTTCCCCGAAGCCGGGGTCTTCGATTGTTTGGGGGGAAGCGCAACAATCAGCCTTCGATACCCTGAAAGAGGCACTATCAAAATCAGTACCACTCCAACACCCAACTCCAT